CTGGGGAAGAATTCTTGCCTCTTCCAGCTTCCCATGGCACCAGGCTTCTCAGGTGTGGGGCATCATTGCGCTCATCTCTGCCTCCATCTTCACATGCTTTCTTCCCCCTCTGTTTGTGCATGTCTGCGTTCTCATGTTCTGTGTCTCTATTTTCTCTTCTTATAAAGGTATCAGTTGTATTGGATTAAGGCATAGCCTCATGATCTCATTTTAACCTGATTATATCTAGAAAGACCCTATTTTCAAGACATTCACAAGTTCCAGGGGTTCGGACTCCAGCATATCTTTTGCAATTCATAACAAGTACACTCAAATCAGAGAACCTCAGCTCTTTCTTCTTGCTTTATCATTTCTGCGCTATCAAATACATTCACCAACCAGCTGGTATGAAAATATCCCTAAATTTGAGGCTTTGTTATAGAAAATTAAGTCATAAATTTGTATTTCTCAAGTTAGATCAATTCAAATATTTCTTAGGATGAGAAATACATCCTGGTGATGTTTCAGTAGAGATGTCACCAAAAACTTGGTAAAATTGTAAATGTTAAAACATTGGACTACCAAATATCTTATTATGGAATTGCCTACTAGCTTTAAAAATGGAAGCGTTTGGGGCCTCCTTAGTGGTGCAAGGGGTTAAGACATAGCACTAGGAAGCGTCTGCAGCCACCGCAGCACAAGTTCAATCCTGGCCAGAGAGGTGACTACATGGCGCAGCAGACCTCTCCTGCTTCACCCAGTGCTCCCCTCAGCAGTGTATTTCAGTCAATCAGCCTGTTCTGTTTCCCATTCTGTCCCTGGTGAATCCTCTCACCCCCCCGCATCTCTGGCCTGCACCCCAGCTTTTGTATGCATGAATAAATAAAATCTTTTTTAAGAAAATGCAAGCGTTTGAGGTAGTTATGGTTTATGTGGTGAATTTGGACAGTGGTACCAGTTTTTGGTTCCCCACCATATGGAGGCTCCATGCAAACTTCTGGAATCCCTCACTTCAGAGAGGAGAGCACATGGAAACATTTTTTGAATGTATCTTCTGACAGCTTCCCAGGAGGAGTAACGTTCCAGCTTTTCAGAGATAGAATCTGAGTTTCCAAGAGGTTGGGATGCTGTCTCCAGGTCGCACAGGTAGTTGGTGGCACAGGTGTGCCTGGATGCTGGACACTCGGGTGCTTCTCCATGTAGAGTCCCTCCAGTGGTTCACCTCCTGTTCTGAAACACAGAGAGGGAGCTTTTCCTTACTGTTTGCATATTCCATATCAGACTGCTCCATTTTCTTCAAGAAGTCTGGTGATACGAAAGTGGGTGATACGACTCTGGAGCTCCTTCTTTTCAGGGGTAACCCTTTGTTTGAAATTGACCTTTGAACAGTTTTTTTTATTAAAAAACTTCTGGGCTTCCCTGGTGGCACAGCGGGTTGAGCGCCGTGCTGTGAAGCTGTCCGCAGCCTCTGCAGTGTGGGTTCGATCCAGGCCGGCCAGCAAGAATACCACATGGTGCCGCAGACCTCTCCTGTCACACCTGCTGCTCCCCTCAGCAGTGTATTTCGTCAGTCTGCCTGTTCTGCTCCCTGCTTTGTCTCTGGTGAATCCTCTCACCCTCCTATGCCTCTGGCCTGTATCCCAGCTCTTGTATAAAAATAAATAAATCTTTAAAAAAAAAAACCAAAACTTCCCCCTTGCTCATGAAGTGGGATTGCCCTTCCTTGTCCTATCTGAGATTAGGTGTGGCCATATGGCTTGTTTTGTCTCAATAAGCAAGAGTGGAAGTAGTGGAAGTATCAACTCAGTTCCAAAGGAAGTAGACTTTGGAACTGAGCCCCACACTCTAATCACACTGCCCTATAATTGAGCAGGCCTGAGGTGAGATAGAACTGGAGTCTGACAGGTCCCTGAGTAACAGGTGAGCAGGGCGTCTGCTGGCCCTGCCTGATCTAGGAAAACCTGCAGGAAAGACTTTTCTAGTTGTTTTAAGCCATTGATATCTTGGAACTGTTTGTAACTACTTCATATTCTAGCTCTTCAAGACTGATTCAGTAAATTTAGGAGCAAAACATAGAAGGTGGAGATTCAACAAAATTTCCAGTAGAAAAAATTATTTTGAAAATAAAGCTGCTTATGATAGACTCTCTTAACTGAACTAAAATATTAAAATGGCAAGTATAAAAATAGCTTGCTGTATGAAAGCTTGGAGGCCAAAGGTGTTTAAGTCACAAGATGGTTATATGACCATCTAGTTCCGACATTATTTTTTTTTTCTTCTCTACTTAAAACTTTGGTCCACCACGAAATACATACCTATTGTTCTCGCACTAAAGGAAATAGCTTGATATGAAAGGAAGGAGGAAATTTGTGGTTGAGAAAACGAAGGCCACATGAACAGTGACACCTTTATCCAAGTAGTCCTGGGGGAACAATAACACAGTTTTGCTCTGAATTTCTGTTGCAAGAAGAGTGTGTGTTGAAGGCAGCTCTTCTATTACAGTCAGTATCTTGTTTCTGGCGTGTTAACTGCTGCCATAACTGCCTTTAAATTATGCCTCGCCTTGTACTCTCGCTGTAGTGTCTAGAAAGCCTTTGTTTATCAGTATGGTTTGCACTCACTTATATCTCACTCTCAGACAATAAACTTAGTTTTTCATGAACAGAGCTGTGGTTTTAGGAACTGAGAGCTCTTGCAACTCAACAAGAGGAAATTTTCCCTAGAATTGAATAAGTGACAATGGAATCGAATGAGTACTACATGTCAGAAATTTGATAAGTATTAAAAAAATTGGTCATCTGCCATAAGTTTATACTGCCTACTTTAATCTTAGATCGAGCATCATGTTTCAGTTGACAGACTGCTTTTGTTATACTATTTACACATTTCTGTGACTTAAACTTCATGAGGGAAGAAAGAGATTTTGGACTCTGCTGCTCCAGGGTGACATACCCAAGAAGTGCTAAAAATTGTCAGCCTTTCCTGTGCTTTTCAGCATATGGTTAATAAGTTTGCAATATGTTAGTCTTTTAAGATATAATATGGATCATTTTGAGCATTTTATTATTGGGGCCGAGAATATCAGAACTAGTGCCTCCCTTAGAAATTACCTTAATTTCTTAACCCCACTTTCATTTCCTAGCAGGGAATTTTTTTTTTCAAATGTGATCATACATGGTAACCCATGTGTAAAATAGATTTTTTAATATCATGAAATTTTATAATTTCAAACTTCTTATAGGATCAATTAGTGACAAGGGGAAAGGAAATATAAACAGCTAAAGGACTTAAAATGACCTTGACCTTCACTCTGTATTTTGCATTGTTTGTCAAGTATTTGAAAACACTGAATTATATGATAGTAGCTACAAGTGGTAAAACCCTTTATTGGTTTGTTTTACAAGGTTCACCCTGAGTCCATAGGAAACTTTAGTTTTATAGGACCACTGAAGAGTTAATTTGGGAGCACAAGTTAATGAAATGTAAAACTATTACTGGGCCTGAGTGTTCCTTTTTTAATCCTAACTTTATGGAAAGAAAACCAAATCAGATATTTACAGATCCCAGCACCTGCACAGGAAACCATCAGAAAACTACAAATCATGCTTTATGTGACATCTCTGTAGAGAGAAAATATAGATTCTAGTTATACTATTTATTTTTTAAGGAATATTAGTGAATATCTGAAAATATTTCTCACTGGAAAGAGTTAAATTAGTCTGAGTATATTCTCATGAAAGAACATGTTCTGGAAGTTTCAGAAATTAGAAAAAAAAAAAAAGGTTTCCATTTTACTCAGTATTAGAAGTGGTTGTCAAGCCCAGCCTACTAATTACTTAGCCCATAAGTAACTGAAGTAGTAATATTTAGCTAGCTTGTGGTCACATATAAATTTTTACTTCGTTTGACATTTTAAAAGATCTTCATGACTATTCCGCAGCATTTAAAAAATATCTGGTTTATAGTTTTGTATTGGAAACTTTATCCACTCCCACTGTGAGGCAGCAGAGATGAACGCAGAATTTTTACTTTCCTGGCTGGAGAATTTTTGTACCTCCACTCAAGCAACTGCTCATCTCCTCTTTGAGGAGGCAGCGTAGGTCCTAGTGCTAGAAAAAAAACTGTAGCAATGTCCTACTTTAGTTCTGTGCCGCTCTAGGTGTGGGATTTTGTGAAACTGTTTCAAAAGCAAACACATTTTGCATTCCTTAGCAAGCTGCATATTTAAAGAAACCCTGTGCTGAAGCCCTCTGAGGCAAATAATCCCCCAAGGTGTCTTGACTGGCTAATAGAAAAGCTCCAGGAACTTTAAAAAGCCATGAGAACTTGACTTGCTGCCATTGCCCCCACTGTCAAGGGTATCAGTGTGGTGAATCCCCCATGAGGAGGGACCTTAGTCTCTAATCAGCCCGTGGCCCCTGTCCTCTTGCCATGCAGGGCACTATGTCCCCGGTGAATTCCACTCACGGTGCCAGGCATTCTTGGCAGACATCTCAGCCTCCCACCCACCTTCATATGAGTGCCACACGGTGATTATAGACTGTTTGCCATAAAGTAAATTTGGAAGTGAAAATAAAAGGAGAATATTATAATACATGACTTTTTATGTCACTTTTAGCAGATGACTCTAGAAAGCAAGCTCAGCATAAGAATCGCCTGTATTTTTTGACATGAAATGACATAATCAAATGTTGTGTGTCAAAAAGTATAGGAATTAAGACCCTGGATTCAAATTCTTAGTCCATTGCTTACTCGTATAGCATTACCGAGGAAAAATTTCATTCACCCCAACTTGATTCAAAGTTTTGTTGTGTGAAGTCTAATGATAATCCATTTAAGTATTTAGCATGAGGGGTGTGTAGTAGGTGCTTTGCTCGTAATTACTTTCAATCATCATTTTTATCATTATTTTGAAATCTTTTTATGCCTAGGAAAATACTTCTAGAAAAGGTAAATAAGGAAAAGAAACAAATTTGGTTGTTAACACCCTTTCCCCGCTCCGCGGCCTGTATCCTCTACAGAGTGTGATAAACTACGGCGAGATGGCTACCGAAGTTCTCAGTACTACTCCCAGGGACCTACCTTTGCAGCCAACTGCAGCCAGCTCTGCGATGATTATCAAGATGAAGATGATGAAGCAGATCAAAAGGTAAGGCTTCTCATTCAACAGGGTAGCCTGGATTGGATCCCAGACCAGAAAAGGACATGTGAAAAAGCTGGTGAAATGAGAATAAAGTTGGTTAAAAGATATACTGAGGCAGGCCTCCCCTGGTGGCGCAGCGTTTGAGCACTGGGCTGTAAAGCTGTCTGCAGCCTCTGCAGCGCTGGTTCAATCCCTGGCCGGCCAGCAAGGGTCCCTCCACATGGCGCGCAGACCTCTCCTGCTACCTCTCCTGCTGCTCCGCTCAGCAGTGTATTTCGTCATTCTGCCTGTTCTGCTTCCTGCTCTATCTCTGGTGAATCCTCTCACCCTCCTATGCCTCTGACTGTACCCAGTGCTTAAATAAATAAATAAATCTTTTTTAAAAAAAGATAAACTGAGGCATAGTAAATATTTTAAGAGTTTATTTGAAGAAGCACCAATTTGAATTGGGCAGCATCAAATCTAGCAAACAGAAAGGCTCTCTAAAGAGCTATTCAGAATGCAAGATTTGTATCTGAAGAAGGGAACAGGAACAAGGAAGTTACACTAGGCAAACAATCAGGCAGGGTTCCTTTCCTTTAGGGGATGGCAGGGGTCTGGCCTGCAGACTACTCCCCCACCAAACATGCAGTTTATTTATTTATTTTTATTGTGGTAACATTGGTCATGGTATTTAACATTCATCTGAAGAGGTAGGATCCTATACCTCTGAATCATTTACAGTCTATAAACTAGCAGAAGTATTTCTATATCCTTAGATTTATGTACCATTGGTAGTATTTATGGGGAACCTTTTTTTTTTTCTAAAATATATCTAGAACCACTTTGAATTATATTCAAATTTTTCCAAAATCATTAGGTCTGTGAATGTTTTCTCAAAACAGCTTATGTTAAGAAATTTGTTTCAGGATAAAAATTATATCAAAGTACATAATTATTAATTATTATATATAAATAGATATCAACAAAGTATACCATGGTATTAACTCATCGTAATAACTACCCCTTTCCTTCCTGCCTCTCTCCCCTTCCCCCTGTTATACTCAGCACTCTGTTAGGCTACATCATTCAATAGTGTATTAACTTCTGCAATTTCCTAGTTCCATGAAGCATCAAAAAGCCCTCCTGTCACATACACACCCCCCATATTACATATGCAGTTTGATAGTCTTGGAGCACATTCCCCATCTTTTTGTTTAGTCATAATTATCGGATTAATTACAAAGCTCTCTACCAGAGAATATGCTCCCCCCCGCCCCCTTCTTAACTGTACAAAGTTGATAAGACAGTGCTGTTTGCAGTGACAAAGTTTCTGAAATTGGTGTGGATGTTAACCTTTGTATGTCCTTGTGCTTCACCAGCTCCAATGTGCCACTCACCCTAACTAGTGCACAAGCAGCTTCAGGTTCCCTCAGGGCGTTGGTTTGTGTGCACCCCACACAGTGCTTAGTGCAGGCCTGGCTGCTTAGCTGGCTTTCATTTAACAATCTAGTGAATAATTTCTTCTGATTAAATAGTCATCCCAAATCAGAATCTTTATTAATCTCACTGCCACTTAACCACATTATATTGATGCGCTGAGGTTTTGAAGCTGTGTAGCCTTCGGTGGTAATCATTTGGAACACAGACATATTTCGCATCCCTCTTCCATGTGCTCAGAAACAGACAGCTATTTGAAGCACAGAATTACCATTTATTTATAAAACAAGGGTTTATTGAGTGCCTCCTGGGTGTCAGAACTATTCTAGGTGCTAGAGATAACAATGATGCAAACAAAAGGAATTCTTGCCCTCAGTGGAGCTTTGATTCAATGGTGAGATGCAGAGCATAAATGATGCGGTTTTAAAGAGTGAAGTGTGCTCCGGGGTAAAATAAGCAGAACAAGACAGAGGGGTGTTTGTGATTTTAAATTAAAAGTATAGACTTTCTTGAGCAAAGGGGTGATTAGGATTAAAAAAAAAATCTTGGGGGCCTCCCTGATGGTCTTGGGATAAAGTCTCAGTGCTATACCACTACGGCCTGAGTTTAATCCCTGGGCAAGGAGCTAACCCACATATGGCACAGCAGACCTCTCCTGTCTCGCACACTGTTCCCTTCAGCAGTGTGTTTCAGTAAATCCGCCTGCTATGGTCCCCACTCTGTCTCTGGTGAATCCTCTCACACCCCTGCAACTCTGGTTTAGACCCTACTTCTTTTATGCAAAAATAAATAAAATTTAAAAAAAAAAAGAAAAAAAAAATACCAGAGAAGAACATTCCAGGAAGAAGCAGCAGCCATTGCAGTGAATGTTTCTTAAGGATAGATGCTGTATACAGATACTGCAAAGTGCAAAGGTTAATGAGGAATCTGTACTTACCTTGAGGAACTGAGAGCTCTCAAGTAGAGAGAACTCACCTGAATAAAAAGGTTTGTCTATAGTATATGCTTTAAAAAGTGGTTGCCATGTAATAGCATCTGAGAGAGAAATTCTTCAGATCTGGAAAGCCAGGAAACGGGAACATCTAGCAGAGGGTAAGAATTGTGAGAAGAAGACTTATAAGGCTATTATAAGGCTATTGCCATAGGAAGCCAGGCTAAAGATTAGACCAAGAGTGCTTGTATGAATGGCAAGGAAGGCAGAAGTTAAGAGATGGTAGTATTCTAGGAGTTAGGAAACCAATTTTCAGCTCTGCCACTCGCTGTGTCTCTTGGATTTATCCCATGGGCCTAATTCACTTGGGCATTAATTTCCTTATCTAGAAAGTGGGAGAGAGGAATAAGATTGTTCTCTGAGATATTTTTGAATAGGCTGTTCTTTCATTCATTTAGCCAATAAAAACTTATTCCGCATCTCCAATATGTCAAGCATTGTTGGATGTTCTGAGGACCCTACCAGTGAAAACGAAGGGAAAATGACATGAACAAGTATAATGTAGCACCACACACACTGAAGTGTTACAGAGAGTGAGGAGAGTGTTAGAGGGACGGGGTGCTGCAGTTTCAGACTGTGTGTTCGAGAAGGACTCTGACCGTGTCACTAGCGCAAGTCTTGGAATGAAGTGCAGGAACACTGCAGGTAAGTGTCCTGGGGGACGAGCTCTAGGAAGAAGAGCCTGCCAAGGCCTGGGGAAGGCAAAACAGTGATCCTGTGGGAGGAAGAGCCAGAGACCAGAGTGGCAGTGGCAAGCAGTGAGTTTGGGGAGGAATGGTGACTTGGGGAGGTAACAGAGAGCCAGATCACTTAGGACTCGCTTGACCATGGCAAGGGCTAGGGATTTGTTGTCCCTGGGTGTGATGGGACAGTGCGGGAGGAATTGAGAAGGAAAGTGGATGCTCTAATTTACTATTTAATGCAGTTTGACCACTGTGTGGAGACAAGGTCATAGAGAGTTGAAGATGGAAGCAGAGTGGCAAGTCAGTAAACTTTTGCAATAATCCTGCAAAGAAACATGATGAGGTCCAGGGCCTGTGTGACAGCCGTGGAGATTCGAGGTTTATTTTGAAAGTGGATCCTACAGAATTTGTTGAAGTTATGCGGAAAAGAAGAGGCAAGGGTGATTCCGTCTCCTATCTTTCCAACTTGAGCCCTCTAGAATCTCATTATAGAAATTATTTGACACCATGAGAAATTCTAATGCTTTGACCCTATCCTTTTCATGAGCTTAGTCATCCTGCCCCAGTTTATTTTACATGGGCCACATTCTCTGAACCTCTTTGCATACACACTCAGCTCTGCTGGCGTTTCTCGCCTTCTGTTCATTTCCTGGAGAAATCCAAACCCCAATTTTACCCAATTCTCTCCCTCACTAAAGCCTGGTTAGCTAAACAGGGCTGGAGAAAATACCAGGTTAAGTAACCTTACTGTAAGTGATGGACCTAAAGTGCTGCCCAGCACTCTCTTATTTTAACTCACCAGTCTTCTATTCTACTTCAAGTTATATTTCTCAACTCATCTCAGATTTCCAAACACCTCTTTTTTTGCTTTACTCTCAAATACTGTCTTTGATATTTACTGTTCTAGAAGAAGAAAGAAAACTCAGAAGGCAAATCGTTTTACTACCAGACTTATTAAACTGCTGTGTCTGTTCCTCTGTCTACTCCGCCTTTTGCCAAGCGTGAATAGTCCTTGCTGCTCTTCTGCTGCTGTTTCCCGTATCTGGTCAGCTCCGGGCACACAGTAAGCACACAGTATTTTTCCAATGGAACAAATAAGACTAACTTCTCAAGGACTTCATACCCACAATTTGCCCCTCTGTTGCCTAACTGATTTTCTCTCTTTCTTGCATAATAACCATCATCATAAAACTTTCAGGATTTTCTTTCATCTTGAAGAAACCCTCCTTTGACCTTTCATCACCCTCCAAATTCTGCCCCATTTTTCAGTTGCTCTTTATAATACAACTTCTCCAAAGAACTGTCTAGACTTGCTATTGGTATTGCCTTTCCTTACATCTCCTTTGAACTCTCTCCAAACAAACTTTTATCCCTAGCACACAGCTGAAGCAACTCTTGTTAAGTCCATTCATCACCTCTACCTTGCAAAATTTAGTGCTTAATTCTCAGACCTCATTTTACTAAACTTTTCAGCAGTATCTGAGTAGATTTCATAAGAAAAATCATATAAAAACCATAGATATTGGTAAGGTATTTGATATAATTCAATAGCCATTCTTGATTTAAAAAAATACTCATTAAACAGAGAAGTAGATACTTACACATTAAAAAAAAATATCTGCCATGTCATCAAATTCAACATAATTTTTAATGTCAAAATCAACATTTTTTTAAAGATTTATTTATTTATAGAAGAACTGGAGTACAGATCAGAGGCAAGGGAGGGTGAGAGAATTCACCAGAGACAGGACAGGGAGCAGAACAGGCAGACAGATCAACGACACTGCTGAGGGGAGCAGCGGGCAAGGCAGGAGAGGTCTGCTGCACCATGTGGGTGTCTTGCTGGCCAGCCGGGAATTGAACCTGCTCTGCAGAGGCTGTGGACAGCTTCACGGTGTGGTGCTCAACCCACC